ATATATATATATATATATATGAAGAGTTCAGATGCAAAAGCCTCTAAGTGCCGTCTGAAATTTTCATCTAAAATTTTTTCCTCTGTTTAGGTTCAGTAATTTTACTCTAATAGCAATGTATAGGTCCTTTTCTATGCAATTGAAGTGAAATAACTGAACATAAACAGAGGAGCCTGCTAAAAATCCTCATTTTAGATGAAAATTTCAGATGGCACTTAGAGGCTTTTGCATCTGAACTCTTCACATATATATATATATTTATTTTAAGAAATAAATGTTATTGTAATCATTTAAAAATAAAAATAATTTTGCATGATAATGTTAAAAGTATGTTTTTTAAAATATGCATAGTTACTGTGCTAAGAATTATAATTCTAGCCACAGGAGGTCACAAGCCAGTGTACCTTTTGTGCCGGTCCCAAGCCCGGATAAATAGAGAGGGTTGTGTCAGGAAGGGCATCCGACGTAAAACTTTCGCCAAATTCATTATGCGAATCACGAACATGACTTGCATACCAGATCGGTCGGGGCCCGGGTTATCAACGACCGCCAGCGGTGCTGTTGACCTACAGGGCACTGGTGGAAATTGGGCTACTGTTGGTCGAAGAAGGAGAGGAGGAAGGTGTGTGAGAGGAGGAAGGCGTGTCCGTAGGCAGAGAGAGAAGAGGAAAGGCAGGAGTTTAGGACTGAAAGTAGGGACTTTGAATGTTGGTACGATGACAGGTAAAGGCAGGGAGCTGGTAGATATGATGCAGAGGAGGAAAGTCGACATTCTGTGTGTCCAGGAGACCAGGTGGAAAGGGAGCAAGGCTAGAAGCATTGGAGCAGGGTTTAAACTGTTTTATCATGGTGTGGACAGGAAGAGAAATGGAGTAGGAGTAATCCTGAAGGAGGAGTTTGTGAAGAATGTTCTGGAGGTAAAGAGAGTGTCAGATAGGTTGATGAGTCTGAAGCTGGAAATTGAAGGTGTGATGTTGAATGTTGTTAGTGCTTATGCTCCACAAGTAGGTTGTGAGCAAGAGGAGAAAGACAGATTCTGGAGCGAGCTTGAGGAAGTGATGCAGAGTGTTCCCAGAGGTGAGAGAGTGGTGATAGGGGCAGACTTTAATGGACATGTTGGTGAAGGGAATAGTGGGGATGAGGAAGTGATGGGGAGGTTTGGTCTTCAGGAAAGGAACCCAGAAGGACAGAGGTTGGTAGACTTTGCTAAAAGTATGGAGATGGCTGTGGTGAACACGTACTTTCAGAAGAGGCAGGAACACAGGGTGACATATAAGAGTGGTGGCAGGAGCACACAAGTGGACTATATCTTATGTAGACGCTGTAATCTGATGGAGATTAGCGATTGCAAAGTAGTGGTAGGAGAGAGTGTAGCTAGACAGCATAGGATGGTGGTGTGTAAGATGACTCTGGTGGTGAGGAAGATGAAGAGAGCAAAGGCAGAGCAGAAGACAAAGTGGTGGAAGTTGGAAAAGGAAGAGTGTTGTGTGGTTTTCAGGGAGGAGTTGAGACAAGTTTTAGGTGGTCAGGAGGTGCTTCCAGATGACTGGACTACTATAGCCAAAGTGATCAGGGAGACAGGTAGGAAGGTGCTAGGTGTGTCATCTGGAAGGAGGAAAGAAGACAAGGAGACTTGGTGGTGGAATGAGGAAGTTCAGGAGAGTATCCAGAGGAAGAGGTTAGCTAGGAAGAAGTGGGACAGTGAGAGGACGGAGGAAAGTAGACAGGAATATAGGGAGATGCAGCGTGAGGTTAAGATAGAGGTGGCAAAGGCCAAACAGAAAGCTTATGAGGACTTGTATGCAAGGTTAGATAGTAAGGAAGGTGAGAGGGATTTGTATCGGTTGGCGAGGCAGAGGGATAGAGATGGAAAGGATATGCAGCAAGTTAAATTGATTAAAGATAGAGATGGAAATGTGTTGACAGGTGACAGGAGGGTGAGGGAAAGATGGAAGGAGTACTTTGAGGAACTGATGAATGAGGAAAATGACAGGGAGAGAAGAGTAGTAGAGGCAAATATTGTTGAGCAGGAAGTAGAAAGGATTAGCAAGGGTGAAGTTAGGAGAGCTTTGAAGAGGATGAAGAGAGGAAAGGCGGTTGGTCCTGATGACATACCAGTGGAGGTATGGAAGTGTCTAGGAGAGATGGCAGTAGAGTTTTTAACTAGGTTGTTCAACGAGGTCTTAGAGAGTGAGAGGATGCCTGAGGAATGGAGGAGAAGTGTTCTGGTGCCGATTTTTAAGAACAAGGGAGATGTGCAGAGTTGTGGGAACTACAGAGGTATTAAGCTGATGAGCCATACAATGAAGTTGTGGGAAAGAGTAGTGGAAGCAAGGCTAAGGGGAGAAGTGAGCATTTGTGAGCAGCAGTATGGTTTCATACCAAGAAAGAGCACTACAGATGCGTTATTTGCGTTGAGAATGTTGATGGAGAAGTACAGAGAGGGTCGGAAAGAGCTGCATTGTGTCTTTGTAGACTTAGAGAAAGCGTATCCTCTGTTTATCAATTTGCACTGGCTACCAATAGCTGCTCGCATAAAATTCAAGGCATTGATGTTTGCCTACATGGGTGGAGAAAAGTGTCAGGTTTGTTGTGTGATAAAAGAGTACCAGCAAGAATGAAAGGAAAGGTGTACAGGATAGTAGTGAGACCAGCGATGTTGTATGGTTTGGAGACAGTTGCACTGAGGAAAAGACAGGAGGAAGAGTTAGAGGTAGCAGAGCTGAAGATGTTGAGGTTCTCTTTGGGAGTGACGAGGATGGATAGGATCAGGAATGAGTACATCAGAGGGACAGCACATGTGAGATGTTTTGGAGACAAAGTTAGAGAGGCCAGGTTGAGATGGTTTGGACATGTTCAGAGGAGGGAGAGTGAATATATCGGGAAAAGGATGCTGAGGTTAGAGCTGCCAGGCAGGAGGCCGAGAGGAAGACCAAAGAGGAGGTTTATGGATGTAGTGAAGGAAGACATGAAGGTAGTCGGTCTGAGAGAAGAGGATGCAGAAGGGGATAGGGCTAGATGGAGGCAAATGATTCGCTGTGGCGACCCCTGAAGGGAACAGCCGAAAGGAAAAGAAGAAGAAGACTGTGCTAAGAATTATAAATATTTATGTACATTTTTATTATAGTTATTTGCTTGCAAACAATGAAGAAGAAAACAGAAAAAAGTAGTAAAAGAAGATAAGAACCACCTAGAGCTAACAGAATAAAGAAATTTGACTTTTTTTAAGTCATTTGTTAGTTTCTATTTCCAGCAGCCCAAACTGTTAAGCCTGGTACTATTAACACCAAGCTCATAGGTTGAATTCCCAGGGAATGCATGATTAATAAAATGCAAACTTTGCATACAGTGTGGCATATGCATTAATACAGTGTCAATGTACATTTGTTAGTTTTGTTATATTCTTACCTAGCCATCCAGAGCGCGAGTCAGGCACACACATATCCATCTCTGCACTAGGGAGAACGAAGCCCACAACGAAGACCTCCACACCATCAGACATGAGCGCCAGCCCCAGCGTGAAGAACAGCTGCCACTGAAACCTGCCATGTCCACACTCCTGTATGATGAGCTCGTACTGCTGCGCCAGCTCCTCCTCATCTGCCTGCCTCTCGTTCTCCAGCTCTCTCCGGTCCTTCAGGCCATCTGCCAGCGGCTGTCCCAGAGCCACCGGTTCATCTCTGGCATTTGCATCCGAGGGGATCCCCTGGTACTCCCCTTCATATATCTCATCCTCGTCATCGTGACCCTCAGTGGCGTCGCTGGATCCCTCTTCATCATTGGCGTGGTCTCCAGTGTAGTTTCCATCCGGCTGGCTGTAGTAGTCATCATCTTCATCCTGGAAGCGCTGGTAGGTGCGACTGCTGGAGTACTCATCTGAGGCATGGTCCACAACTTTGTTAACCTTCTTAATAGCTTGTCGTTTGGCCTCCTTAGCAATGTCTCTGGCTCCTTTCATGAGGGAAGACTTGTCTTGTGGAGCTGTATCATTCATGATTAGATGGTGGCTGGAGGTCTGCAGTCACCACAGAAGAAGAGCTTGTGCCTTTATGGCTCTCATGAGTCTGTGAGAAACACAGGTTTAAAGTTATATTGTGAGTGCTAAAGCTTTGGGCTACATAGTTCATAAATAACCAACATAAATCTTTGGAAAAGCCACCAATATATAAATATTAGTGCTGTCAAACGATTAATCGCGATTAATCG